TCTTTGGCCTTGTAAAACTGAGAAAATGCATACCCTCACTAGGAGTCTGTTGTGCCTCCAGCTGTGCTTACCCTGTCATGCTTCAGGTGCGTATACTTTTGTGCGTACTTCACTTTCTTTGGGCTCCATGTCCTTGGATATTTTTATTCCTTGTCTTCAATTGCCATATTGGTAACTTGCTCTGTTGGATGTCCTAGACAGGCTTATTTATCCTGTTGGAATAGTCTTTGCTGATCCCAGAGAAAAATGTTCAGTATATGTTACCATCACAGGAGGCTTTTGTCCCAACTGCATTTTTAGCTCCAAGAAACAGGTGAAAATAGACTCACCATCTTCTCACCTATGAAGGAGCTGCCACTCTATCCCTAACTAAAAGGTATTCTTTTTAAAAAAAATAAAAATACTGATGTTGTAAACTCATATATTGTATCTGATCATGGTGTCCATCAGTCTTCTCTGAGGCTGGAATATAAATGATGTGACTCTCCCATGAGAGGGGGATGTGCAGTCTATCTCATCTGGGCAACCTGCATGGGGTGGTTCCCCTTCTCCTCCTGGGCAGGCCCAAGCGGCTCAGTTGTGCCCATGCAGGCCCTAGGATGGCTGCACTTACCTTAGTCACAGCAGGCAGGATGCTGAATGCTCTCACTCTAAAGCAGTTCTCAGCCAATTGCTAACGCTGGAGAACGCAAGCCAACCCCTTGCAGATGGCCTAGGCTGTTCCGCAGAGAAGCTCTGGAGTTGCTGCTGGTCAGATCAGATTACCAGAGACAGAGGACGATACAATCTCATCAACAGGTGCATATTTTCCCAGCAAAAGAAGGGTAGTCTTGCTCGGCAGTCTCCTCCATTCTTAACTCCAGCATGAAGACTTATTTTCTGAGGAACTTGCTCTCTTCTGTTTGGTGAGGCCTTACCTTGTGTCGTGGTTTAACCCGGCTGGCAACTCAGCACCACGCAGCCGCTCGCTCACTCCCCCCCCTCCCTCAATGGGATGGGGGAGAGAATCGGAAAGAAAATAAAAGGTTAGAGCCGAGGGCTGAGATAAAGACAGTTTAATAAGAGAAAATAATAATAATAGTAATAATGAGAATGATAACAGAATATACAGAATATACAAAACGAATGAGGCCCAATGCAATTGCTCACCACCCGCCGACCAATGCCCAGCCTGTCCCGAGCCGCGAGCAGTCCCCGAGCCGTGAGCAGTCTCCGAGCCGCGAGCAGTCTCCCCGCGACCGACCAACCGACCAAACTAACTAACCCCCGCCTCGAGCATGAAGTTATATGGTATGGAATAGCTCTTTGGACAGTTTGGGTTATCTGTGCTAGCTGTGCTGTACTCCCAGCTTGTTATGCACCTGGGCAAGCAGGAGAAGCTCAAAAAGTCCTTGAGTAGTCTGAGCACTACTTGGCAACAGCTGAAAACATCAGTGTGTTATCAACATTCTTCTGGTACTAAATCCAAAACACAGCACTATGCTAGCTACTATGAAGAAAATTAGCTCTATCCCAGCCGAAACCAGGACACCTTGTCACACATCCATCATGAAAAACACTTTACAATACTGCAGAACGTGTGCAGGCTGCCAGCTCAGTTTCCTTCCAGGAGTCCTAGCCTGAACCAGTAGGCAAGATGCTTTTTTGCAATGCTATCTCAGGGCTCAACCCTCACGAGTCATGTACCTTAGCCAAGAAAGTCACCGTCTCTTGCACTCCTCTTTCAGACCGTCTTTCCTGGATGTACCTGGCACTTACATTATCTTCTCAACTTGCATGCTAAACCATTTCTTCCAGGATGCTCAAAAGTGGCAGTTTCCAAATTACAGGTAACACAAAAACTCATTTTCCATTTACAACTGTGTTTTTCTAGTGTAAAAAGCTTGAAAATGTGACACCCATGAAAACTGCAAGCTGAAAAAGCTGAAAGCACATAACTATATAGCCCCCATTTAAAAATACCCAGTGAGACATAAATCCACCTCGTAATCTGTACAAGATTTTGTTTGGACTTTTAGACTTACACCCTTTGTGAACACTTGGCGTTGGCAGAATTGCTTGGCTTCTGCTCATCTGATGCTCCTTTTAACCAGGGCTGTTTCCTTTCACCCCTTTCTCACAGCTCCTCACAGCATCACTCAGCAGCACTCACTTTCAGCGCTCATCTGATACACAGTCCTCTCCTAATTCCTCGCTGTCTGCAGTGCTTTGTCAGCTTAAGCCAGACTCTCTTTGCTTCTTCAGATTGCTCTTTGAAAGTCTGCTTCACAAGCTTCTTCCACTGGATATTCACAAAATAATTTTTCTTTCCTTTTCCCGTGGCAGCTGGCACAGCATAGCAGACCCACGGCCCACCGAACGCAGCATCCTCATCCTCCCAGGAGTTACTGACTCCTTAAAAGAAAGGTGAGCAAAAAGTACGCGAAGGTGGGACAGTAACTCTTGGCACAGGCCCGTTCTGAATCTGAAATACCACACATGCTTCGAAGCCTCTCCCCCCGCGCCCCGTTCACTCCCGATACGCGGGCTCCTGTTGCTCACACCGCCGCCGAAATTCCCACCGAGTCCTGGAGCACCGTTGCCCCCGCAGCGCCCC